CTAGCAAAGTGGAACTGCATGGATGTCCATGGAAAATGAACAGCTGAGTTGACATCAAGATGGGTGAATGAATCAATGTAAAAATTCAGTGCAACACTCAAATCAACAGTTTTAAGGAATTTGTTCTTCTGCGCCATGCTCTCCTTTGGCTTTTATTCATTATGGATACCGTTATGCTTTTTGTAGTCATTATTTAGGTTAAGCCTGCCTTAATGCATCAGAAATATTTTAAGATCACAGCTCACACTAATACTTGGAAGGAATCACCACCTAGGAATGACTATTTATTAGATTTTATTAATTCAAAACCCAAAGACAAGCTGAGCATTTTTCAGAAGCTGTCTGTAGTTAGCAGCAACAATAACAGAATGAATCAGTAAGTATAGATTCTCAACTGAAAGGACTTCCTAAACAGTTTTACTAGTATTCATCTCACTCGAGTATTGCCACATAAAGGCTGGGAACTTAGTTGTCTGTGTCCTCCTCTACAGTCAACAAAAAGCCAGATATCCTTATGGGCAGGTACATCTCATTTTATGATACACCTCAATGATATGTGATATATTCTGTTTCTCTGGATGGATTTTATAGAGAATCTCTCCAACAAATTGTGTTTAATCACTTTACCAGGTCTACAGTTAACTCAAATGTATACTACTCTTTGTCATTAAATGGCAGAAAAAGCATTTTCCTTGAGATGGCATTAGAAAGTTCAGAACAATGAAATCTTTCATTCTGTGTGTAGGGCACTGTCCTGATAAGTGGGGAACAAGGGTCTTCAGTAGACAAATTCTTCCACCCAAATATCTTTAAAAGAAAATGGAACTGGAGCATCTAGTAAATAGCACTTCATAGTCATGCACTGGAAAATGAAAATAACATCATATTCTTTAAGTTTTTTCTTGCCTCAGACAGGCACCAGAAGGTATAGACTGACAACGTTTGAAATATACTAAACAGTTATTCATACAAAAGAAACCAAAACAAGGGCTGCTGGTTTTTGTGTTTGTTGGTTTTTTTTTAATGAAGAAGAAAAAAAAAAGATCAAACAAAAAAACATTAACTTTCTCAAACTCAACAGACATTTCAGGGTTTTAGAAGCTGGAATGAATATAGTGCAACTGTCAAAATGAGAAATATAAAAGTTGATGCTCACAATATCTGATAACCAATAAGCCCATCTTGAATGAATTCCAGAGAAAAAAAAAACAGAAAAATCTCATCAAAGTGAGAATGTTAAGTGGGCAGCTGGTTCAGACCATGAAAAAGCATTAAACCACTGTAATCTTGGTTTGAGAATTATCTTATGGCATAATAAGACTTTAGAAAGCAAATATAATGAAGCCCCTGTCATTAATTTGCACTCCAAGTAAGATACTATCCCATGTTAAACACAAATTTCATATTGATTTTGCATTTCCTACTGAAGGAGGAAGGCTCTATAGGGAGAGAAAAGCAAGGAAATGTTTTCAAAAGCCTTGCTCATATTCAGATTTCTGCTTGAAGCCAATAAGACAACTCATGTGTGGAAGGGTAAACAACTGCACAATTCTTTTCAGGACCAAAACTGTACTGGAAAACCAACAACTTTGATGACAGGCTTCCCAGAGAGGCCAAGAGCTGAATGAAGCGTGAGCTGACCTCATAACCTTGGACTCAATGGACATCAACATGCTATCCATGGACTCAACCAAGCCTGTAGCTTATTCCTCTGGGGTCAAACAAAAGTGTATAGGAAAAACTGCCTCATGCTAGATAGGTAGAATTTCCAGTGGGGTTCTCACATGTGAATTAAAAGTTTGAAAAAACCTGCTAGAAAGTCCATTCTTTCCAACTCAGCGCATTGTTCAAAGGAACTCACATAGCCAGTTCACCTCTGAATCGCTGAAAGTAATATATTGTAATGATCAATAGGCAAAGTCTTATGGATATTTTTTTCAAACAAGACTTCAGCAGTGCCACATGCCTTTAGTATGAAAAACCTTAATTTAAAGCTGCATTTAGCACGATACAGGCTCAATTAGAATTAGTTTTTTATTGTATTTTTTAAAGATTAATATGTTTTAATCAGATATTTATCTTTTATACAGATTTTAAACTTCAGTAAGAACCAGATGTTCATCTGGGGTAAAGTTGCAAAGCTTACCTGAAGTAAAAGTATCTACTATACTTCATGCCATCTGGTTCTAGAAGTTTCTGAAACTTTAATTACATTGAAAATTACATTAAAATGGCATGATAGCTTTATTAATCTAATGACTTTAATGTTCAAAAATACTGAAATTAAAAAGGTATCTAATCAAACATACAGGGATCTGTTTTTCACATCAAACAGTTATGTGATAAAATCCATGTAATACTTGAACATTTCTTTAGGCCAATGGCTAAAAATCAAGGAGTGGACACAGATGAATGTGTAAACCATTCATGCCCACTCACTTTCACAGTATATCTTTGAACACAAAACAGAACAATGCCACAAAGGATTGGGCACAGCTGCAGTAAAAATGGGTAGAAGGGAATGGAGGATATAGGAAGCCTTGTCACCAGAGTGGATATGCACATTCAGATAATGAGTTATTGTACTTTTTTCCGTTCAGTTTTTACACAGTTGTTTCCGCACATTGTTTCAGAGAAAATTGAAAGTGTTTTATTCTTTAGGCTGATGAATGTAATTAAAATTTGCTTTAAGGACAGCAGACAAACCCATTTCTTAAGACATTAAAAATGAGAGGAATATTTAAAGACAACAATAATTTTACTGAAGCCATCAGAAAATATAACCATTATTTAAAAAATAATAAGATTGTTGGTTTTGTTTTTTAGTAATGTGTCTCCTAGCACAAAATTTTAATTGCAGATTAGTTTTATTTTTGTAGTCCTCTTGATAAATTTGAGGCAAGCCACATACATCATTAATTGTATTGTGTAGGGGACCACATTTCAAACAACAGCTTTGTCTGACCGAGCTACTATAGCCTGTCTGATTGTTGCAGAATTGTCATTAAATGGAAATGATGCTCAGGAATGTTGAACTAAATGTTATGTTTCTAAATACCATGAATAACATTACAGTAGCTTTAATGAATTTCATAGGGGAAAAATGTTGTTAAACAGAGCAAAAATATTAGCCCTGCTGCCGTGACCAAATTCCAATCTAGATAATTGCATTCTGACACCTATTCTTTCTCAGTTGTCTAAATTGGTTATACTTGTGTATCTCAGTGTCTGGATTGAAGAATGTTTGAGAAAGCCCTTCTGACATTGCTACACCTGTTGACAGTTGTAAAGGGTTAATGGAGGAAAAAATTCTGAAGACCTAAATCCTGGCTCATGGAAAGCTTCTAAAAAACGATAGAATCATAATCTGGAACTGCCTTGATACACATTCAAGGCAGAATCTTCAGTGACAACCTTGTTTAACATTTTTTCGTGTGTCTGTGACATCTCAAAGACATAATTTCTAGTATCATTTCCAGAGCCTCACCATGCCCTTCGATCTTGAGTACTGCTTGTGGTATCCCATTCACACACTGGCGCACACTAATTATCCTGCTTGGGAGACCAGACAAGATCATCAAGGAGCATGTAAAATATTTAAATCAGGCATACATTTTCATATGCACTGACAGTGATTAAAATAGAAAAGCCTGACAAAACATAAAATCAGAAAGAGGTAGTGCCAAATGTCACTTACTGAATAGAATATTCCTGGAAAACTCATCTATAGGTAACTGCAGGTAATCATATCCTGTTTCTGTTGGGATTAGGTGAAATGTCCTGTTCTCTCAGCAGAACAACTGAATCCACATTCCTCCCTCTCTGGTATACAAGTATCCCAGAAACTGCACAGACTGTACTGCACGATACACACGGTGTTGTCTGAAGGCTCAAGCTGCATGTTAAACTGCAGCTGGATTGTTACTATTATGGTTTTGTCACAGTGATTTAGTGAGAAAGTCAATGATCTGGAAATAGATGTGATGTTTTAAATGTATGTCATCATATCTTCTGGGCTAATTTCAGTCTTACCATTGCAATGGATTTTCTTCAGGTAGAAGAAAGAAGACAAAGAAATGGTGAGAAGAGTGACAGAATAAGTGGAAAAGAGTTGACAGAATCATGTGAGCACAGATGCTAATGAACTGAAAAACATCATTTGCTTTAATTATTACATATGTCTGCACAGAAGTCAGTCATTTGAAAGGAATCATAGTGTGTATAAAGAGCCTCTTAAAGGATCCATATAGGAAAATCGGGTCTTTCACCTTTATAAAGTTTAAGATTAAGGATATTTTCCATTCAGTGCTGGCTCACAAACCAACCCATTCAAAGATGGTGTCTCTCCAAGTCATTCCTTTGCACACACATACACGTAAGTACAAACAGCAAGGAAGAAGCAAGCAAAACGAAATGAGTAAAGATTGCTAAAGACTGTGAGAGAGCCACAGTCAGTGCTCTCATGGTGAAAGAAATCTACTGCTGTATGGGTGGTACTAGCTCAAATCTTGTATACAAATCAAAGTGAATTCAAGGCTCATGTTTTTCTACCTTATCTGAAAATCCTGACTTTTTTTCATGCAAAGATAATTCCAAAGATAATTCTGTTTTAGCTAGAATTCTTTTCAGTCTGAGTTTGAAAAAGCTTTAAATAAAACTAGTAATTTCCAAAGAAAACAATTATTCTTTTTTTGCCACAAAGATCCTGACTGAATCTTTTTCCATTTTGAACATACATATTACTTCCAACAAAAATAACAGGATTCTTTTCAAAGTAAAAAAAAAGAACATCTGAATGCTATGAAATCTACTTTAACATCCATAACATATAATTGAAAAGTTCTGATAAGTTCTTAATTTATTACCAATCCTAGTGTGTTGCTCTTAATTAAGCCTCATCTTGCACTAATAATTCTCAGTTGTACTATACAACATATGCTACAGAAATCTCTGAGGTAGCCGAGGAAAACCAAGCCAAAAGCAACAGCGAAGTTGCTTACCTGCCTGAATTCTTCAAGATCTATTTTGTTTCCCACCAGCACCAAGGGGATGTCATAGGTGTGCCGGACACGATAAATGAGTTCCTTAAACTCAGCAGCTTCTTGAAAGGATTGGCGGTCTGTGATGGAATAGCAGATAATGAAGCCTTCTCCACCTCGCATGTACTGGTCCCTCATGGCTGTGAATTCTGCCTGTAGAATAGGAAGAAGATACCCAGTAATTCAGCAGACAAAATTACCCATTTGGAAATAACAAACTTGCTGAGAACTTCCCTCATTCCCCACATAATTTCACATTGTTTGTTTTACTGTTTTAAATACTGCTTGCTGAACCTTGTACATCCTTCTGGGGTCATCATCATGGATAACACACCACCAGGATGTCTCTTAGGACCCTTTTCTCTCCTTTACTCATCAAGGGAACTTTGTCCTTGAAGAATGTGAATTTACTATGCCAGTACCTGCATACAGAAAATACTGTCCCACATATTTCTAAAACCTTCTGTAGCACTTTTGGTACATACTTGCCATTGAATGAATACTAACAGGTGTAAGAGAAGAGCTTTATTGTGATCTAGAGATTGAAGACAGGTACAAATCCTTATTATGCACTCAATTCAAAAGCTCAGTAATATCAAAAAGACATTTATTGTCTCCCACCAGCTTTGGAATATGCCTAGTAAAACAGGAATATAATCTGCAAAAAGTTCTGCTCTTTCAAATGTTCTGAGAGAAATCAGGGGTTTCAGTTCAGTGTGTGATAACACCATTAAATGAAAATGGACAATTTCAAATAGTGAGAGAATTGGTCCGATCTTCTCCTCCTGCATTTTTCTCTGTTTATGTATACATGTATTGAAGCAGTAACACTTCTGGTCATAGGTATGAGTTTTTTTTAGAAGTATTTAACAACTGCCACACTGTATTAAAAAAAAAATATTTAGTTTTAAAAAACTAATCTCAGGTACTGTGGCTTGAGAATATGCTTTAAAGTCAGTTTCTTTTTCAAGTTTGTTTGCTCTTCTTGATCACAGCCCAGAATAACCCAATACCATGGCAACAGTCGGTCAGGATCAGAATCCTCCAGACAGAGTCAGTTCTCCAGAGATATTAAGATTCAGGAAGGTCTGATAAAGTAAGGAATACACATATCAACATTGGACCATTTCTAATAGCAGCAGGATGCAATATCAAGTCTTCTATTTTTTAGTCTGCTGAGAATTTAGGCTAGGATTTTAAAACAGATTAGACTATATATATATATCCTCAGTTCTTGCTGAAAATTCAAGGGAAATGGATTGCTTATGCTCTTTAAAAGTCTCAGCCTTAAATCTCTCTCAGTAGTCACTCATATTGATTGATCATACTTCCTGTGAATAGATTTTCGTGTTGACCATTATCATTTATTCATGATGTATCTTTTACCCAAGGGCTTCCTTATAGATCACTCAAAATATTTCACCTACTACAGGAAAAAGTTCATAGACTAAGCTCCAAAATAGCAGACTAATAGGCAATTTAAGGGTAGGATTCTACTATGAGACTTACTCAAAATTTTGTAATCTCTAAACTATCACCACTGGCATCCCAGGAGTTTATTAACTACCAAACTGCAGCACAGAGTGGATCAAGCTATATTCTATCCCAGCCCATCTCAACTGGATGTGTAAGAAGTAGGGCAGTGGTAGGGAGAAACACAGAAGATGTCAAACAAAAGGGATTCTACACTCCCCTGGTTTGGGCAAGACAGTGAGGGGAGTTCTGTCTCTGCTCCCAGGTCTTTGCCTGCAATCTGTGTAAGAGAGTCACTGGATTAATAACCAGTGCAATACCAAGGTCTCCAAGTTGTGAGCAGGGAGTGTTAATAACTAAACACACAGACATAATCCCTCTCCCTTACTGACCCTCAGATCCCAGGCTTTCCTGACAGAACAACAATCTTTCCAAGCCCCTCATCCTCTGTGCCCCTGCTTTTCTTCTCTTTGCATCGTTCACCTAGAACTACCATGATTAGTGGAGTAGCCTCCTTTGTAGTAGGAGCTGAACAAGGCCTTCATCCCTTCAGACTGAGCAGAAAATGTAAACCTTATGCAGAACTAAACTGAATTTAGCTGCCTCTGCAGCTGCAGGTCACTATCTAAGCCCCTATTACAGATAATAGTAAGCTAGTCAATGCAATTAATGGACTACAGATTGCGTCTGTTCATGAAAAACAGTTATTCCCTTAGGTCCCTAATTACCTATTTTTTATCTGTTCTAGAGCCAGCTGAATATTTACACAACTGAACGAACCTGCTAGCTCCTATTCAAACTCCCAAAAGTAGATGCTTTGGTATGGAACTTAAAACCCAGCCCAGACAACCTGTCTTCCTGGGTTAGAGATTTCATAAATCAGGTATTGTAACACTGTATGATTATTCTACACAGACTTTTACAAAGAATGAGCTCTGCTTAAGTAAGTTGGTTCACCTCCAGGAAGTGCTCAGAACATTCTCTTACAGCCATTTATGGCAAACTAAGAAGGAATTAGGTCACATAGCCCTGTTTAAGTTACTCACAGTAAGTGACAGTCTTCAATGTGGGGACCCCCAGGACCAGTCCCCTGGAATGCTTAACGGCTTTTCTTGACTGCCAGGATACTCTGGGTTTCTAATTTTACATTAAATCATTCCAAAGGGATGAAGTATTCAGCTTTTAGGCACTGCCATTCTTGAGGCTGAGTCATTTACCTATGCATTGTGGTTCATGCCTGGGCATAGACATGACTTTAAGGATATGAATGAATTTACTTCTGCAATATTTTATTATGATGTATTATTGCTGCTGATATATTGGACTAAACAGCCAAAACACCTTGTGTCAAGTTTGCAGTGATCCATCTTCAGAGGCATTAATTATTCTGTGTAAACTAGACTGGGCACATCCACTTGGTTTTCTGTTGTTAACTCAGTCATTTCCAATCTTATTTTTCTGATGTTGACTTTCACTTCTCAGCTTTTTCCCCTTGGCATAATTGCTCATTACAGAGTCAAGGACTCCAAGGTCAAACATGAAAAAGCCTCTTCCTGGATTTCAACAAAAATGTGTTTACTTCACTGTTTACCAAGAAACCCAATATAATAATAATATACACCAAGACAAAGATTAGAACCCTTTTCAATAAACATACTATACCCCTTCCAATAATGTATGGGTGTTAAATATAGATGATGAAGGACTAACATGTAATTAAATTCTTTGTTCTTTGTTCTTTTTTTGAGTCTTACCCCAATTTCACAGTCTTCCATGTATCTCTACAGCAAGCAGAACAAAAATCCAAGTTGACCTGGGTTTTTTTGATGTTCAGAGGTATACGAAGATAGGCCCAAAAGTTTCACAAACTTTTCAGTGTTTTTTTTTATATTTGGGTTGGTTCTCTTATAAAATACGCAACAGTACATCTGTGCAGCTGGCACACTAATTGTTTCCTGCTGTAAAAGTGGCTTTTTTTAAAATTATTCATGAATAGTACTTGATGCCATTTGCTACTCAGTAAGGGGAAAATATGAAATGTTCCCAAGTCAGCAAGTGCCAAGGGGAAGAGACAGAAGGAGATCACACCTCCTCAAAAGGAAATCAATCCTGAGACTTAAAGTGAAGATTTGTCATGCTTATAGCACTTTGCAGCTTGACATCAGTCTCTAATACTCTCTTGTGTATTATGACTAAGACTTTAACTGAAAACTGTGGTAAGAAATCTTCCAAAAGAAAATCACCATTCATCTTGGGAGACATGTTATACTTGACAATAAGCATCAAGTCTAGATAGAAACAAAATAAAACTTTTCTAAAAGTTGAAAGAATTCAGAATAACTTTTTCATTTTCTTTTTCCATTATAAATGAGTGCAGCAAAAAACCTAATACTAATCCTCATGTGCTTATACATGTCTACCTGTTGTTGAAGAAAGTTAGCAAGAAAATCACTCAATACCAGTTGCTCCTAAACAGATGCCACATTTGCCTTTTAGTAGTTATCAGGAATCTGCCATGATTTCTCAGTGACAGAATGGCCTTACAATGACATAAAGCAGCTCCCTCAACATGCTCAAATGCATCACATCCTGTTGTATCAAACTTACAGAATCACAGAAGAGTTAGGGTTGAAAAGGACCTTAAGATCATCCAGTTCCAACCCCCTTGCCATATGCAGGGACACCTCACACTAAAACATGCCACCCAAGGACCTGTCCAACCTCGCCTTGAACACTGCCAAGGATGCATCAACTTTCTCAGCCTGTCTTCATATGAAAGGTACTCCAGTCCCCTGATCATCCCTGTGGCCCTCCTCTGGACTTGTTCCAACAGTTCCAGGTCCTTTTTATGTTGAGGACACCAGAACTGTACACAATGCTCCAAGTGAGGTCTCCCAAGAGCAAAGGGGCAGGATCACCTCCTTCAGCCTGCTGGTCACGCTCCTTTTGATGCAGCCCAGGATATGGTTGGCTTTCTGGGCTGCGAGCGCACACTGAAGCTGGCTCATGTTAAGTTTCTTATCAACCAACACCCCCAAGTCCTTCTCCGCAGGGCTGCTCTGAATCTCTTCTCTGTCATACCTGTAGCTGTGCCTGGGATTGCTCCCACCCAGGTGAAGGTCCTTGCACTTGGCATGGTTAAACTTCACAAGCATGTCAAGGTCCCTCTGGATGGCATTCCTTCCCTCCAGTGTATCAACTGCACCACATAGCTTGGTGTCATCGGGAAACTTGCTGAGGGTGCACTCAATCCCACTGTCCACGTCAGCAACAAAGACGCTGAACAAGACCAGTTCCAACACTGGTCCCTGAGGGACACCACTCGTTACTGGTCTCCAGCCAGACATTGAGCCATTGACAACTCTTTCTGTGCGGCCATCCAGACAGTTCTTTATCCACTGAGTGGTCCACCTATCAAATTGATGTCTCTCCAATTTAGAGACCAAGATGTCATGCAGGACAGCATCGAATACTTTACACAAGTCCAGGTAGATGACATCAACTGCTCTACCCCTGTCCATCAGTTCCTTAGCCCCATCATAGAAGGCCACCAAATTGGTCAGGCAGGATTTCCCCTTAGTGAAGCCATGCTGGCTGTCACCAACCACCTTCTTGTTTTTCATGTGCCTTAGCATGCCTTCCAGGAGTATCTCCTCCAAGATTTTGCCAGGCACAGAGGTGAGACTGACTGGTCTGTAATTCTCTGGGTCATCCATTTTTCCCTTCTTGAAAATGGGGGTTATATTTCCCCTTTTCCAGTCATTGTGAACTTCACCTGACTGCCATGATTTTTCAAATATGATGGACAGTGGCTTAGCAACTTCATTTGCCAACTCCTTCAGGACTCACGGATGTATTTCATCAGGTGCAATGGAGTTGTGTACGTTCAGGTTCTTAAGATGGTCTCAAACCAGATCCTCTCCTACAGTGGCCCCAAGGTCTTCATTCTCACAGTCCCTGCATCTGCCTTCCAAGACTTGGGTGGTGTGGTCAGAGCATTTGCCAGGGAAGACTGAGGCAAAGAAGTCATCAAGAATTTCAGCCTTCTCCAAAGGGTAGCCAGTTCTCCTGATAGCTTCCAGAGGGGGCCCATGTTGTCCCTAGTCTGTCTTTTATTTGCAATGTACCTATAGAATCCTTTCCTGTTACCTTTCACATCCCTAGAGAAGTTTATTTCTAAGTGGGCCTTAGCTTTCCTAACCTGGTCCCTAGCTTCTCGGAAAACATACCTCTATTCTTCCCAGGCCTCCTGCCCTTGCTTCCACATTTTATAAGCCTCTTTTTCCTTTGAATTTTCCTCAGCAGCTCCTTATCCATCCAAGGAGGTCTCCTGGCCTTCTAGGTGGGATGCAACACTCCTGAGCTTGTAGTAGGTGATCCTTGAATATCACAGTCTTGGGCCCCCCTGCCCTCTAGGGCTTTGTCCCATGGAACCTTACTAAGGAGGTTCCTGAAGAGGCCAAAGTCTGCTCTCTTGAAGTCTAGGGCACTGACCTTGCTGCACACTCTTCTCACTGTCCTGAGGATCTCAAATTTGACCATCTCATGATCACTGCAACCAAGGCTGCCCTGGAGCATCACATTTCAAATGAGCCCTTCCCTGTTGCTGAGCATGAGGTCAAGCATGGTACGTCTCCTTCTTGGCTCCTTTATTACTTGCAGAAGGAAGTTGTCTTCCATGGAATCCAGGAACCTCCTGGATTTCTTGTGCCAGTCTGTACCATCCCTTCAACAGATATCCAGGTGGTTGAAGTCCCCCATGATGACAAGGGCCTGCGAGCGTTAGGCTGCTCCTATCTGTCTATAGAGTGCTTCATCCACAGAGTCCTCTTGATCAGGCAGTCTGCAACAGATCCCCACAATAATGTCTCCCATAGCCGTTCTCCCTATAAGCCTGACCCACAAACGCTGTTGACTGCTCACCTGTCCCCAGACAGAGTTCCATTCTCTCCAGCGTATCCCTAACGTAAATAGGAACTCCCCCTCCCTGTCTGCCAGGCCTGTCTTTTCTAAAGAGCCTGTAACCTTCCATTTTAACACTGCAGTCATAGGAGCCATCCCACCATGTTTCTGTGATGCCTATTATATCATACCTTTGTAGACATCCACACATCTCTAATTCCTCTTCTTTGTTCCCCATGCTATGGGTGTTTGTATAGAGGCATCCGAGCCAAGCTCCAAATGAAGCCAGCTCATTGGCTGGAGCAGCTGGAATATATCTGCATTGCTCCAAGCATTTATTATAGGTGCTGGCAACTGACTGGGTGTGTTGGGATGGAATGATGCTCCCCTCCCCCAACACATCTAGTTTAAAGCATCCTTGACTAGCTTGGCAAGCCTCCTACCAAAACTGCTCTTCCCCGTCTTTATCAGACCAGCTCCAGCAACCCCCAGTAGACACGGCCTACTAAATTGAGTCCCATGTTCTAGATAACCAAACCCCTGATTATGGCACCACTGTTCTAACCATTTATTAACCTGACCAATCCTCCAGCCTTTCTAAGGTCCTCCCCTTTATCCTGGCGAATTGACTAAAAGACTATCTGAGCTCCAGAGACCCAAACAACGTCTCCCAGGGCTCTCTAGTCCTTCTTTATGTTCTCCAGACTACTGCTATCTACATTACTAGCTCAGGGTGAAAGATGGGTGCCTCTGTGCCTTTCAAAGTAATGTCCCTTACTACTACGACCCGCTGCTTTTTCCTGGCAGCACCAGTAGTGATCTTCTTTACCAGTGCATCAGCCGGTTTTTCATGGTGCGAGTATGTTTCCTCATTAGCACCTTTCACAACAGCAAAGCGGTTCTGGGTGGGAACAACAGATTTACGAGGAAGCCCCTTGCTTTTAATTGTCCTCTGCCTCTTTTTTTTTTTTTGTTTGTTTTGTTTTGTTACTATTTCAAAGCTTCCTGGGTTAACGGCCTCCTTTCCTCCGTGAGCTACAGTGGACACATGAGGCCCCTGCACAGTTTGGGCCTGGAGCAAGCAGTCCTGCTTCCCCTCAGCTTCCCTGACATCTTGCAGCCTATTAACAGCATTCCGCAGCTCAGCCCCTGCTGCAGGAGCACCTCCACCAGGGAGCACCGAGTGCAGCCCTGCCCATTGTGCACCCTCCCCTCACCAGACCAGTGCAGGCACTCTCTACACCCCGAGCACTGCACTGCAGCCTCCCCTCTCATCGGCTCTGTCTGGGTGCCTACGCTGCCACCGCCGGGGCAGCCAGAGCAGAGCTCCCGGACAGGGCAACCAAGATGATTAAGGGAGTAGAGCATCTCCCTTATGAAGAAAGACTGAGGGAGCTGGGTCTTTATAGTTTAGAGAAGAGGAGACTGAGGGGTGACCTTATAGGTGTCTATAAATATATAAAGGGGGAGTGTCACGAGGATGGAGCCAGGCTCTACTCAGTGGCAAACAATGATAGGACAAGGGGTAATGGGTACAAACTGGAACACAAGAGGTTCCACTTAAACTTGAGAAGAAACTCCTCTCAGTGAGGGTGACGGAACACTGGAACAGGCTGCCCAGGGAGGTTGTGGAGTCTCCTTCCCTGGAGACATTCAAAGCCCGCCTGGACACATTCCTGTGTAACATTATCTAGGTGTTCCTGCTCTGGCAGGGGTATTGGACTAGATGATCTTTTGAGGTCCCTTCCAATCTCCAGCATACTGTGATACTGTGATACGACAGTGCTCACCAGCCCGCTCGCCAGCCCGCGCCAACGGCCTCGACCCGCCCTGTTTGCACCCCCCGATCACTCGCGCTCCCTGGGCAGGTTTTTACCCCCTCAGGGCTGGTGCCGCTCCTCCTGGCTCCGCCCCCTGTGAGTCCCTGCTCGCCTCAGCTGAGCTGCCGGCTCCTGGGCAGGTCCTGTCGAGGACTTGAAGCTCCCTCGGTGGCTCTCGCCGCTCTGAGTTGAGGCTCCTGGACGCTGAGCTTCCCTCGCTCAGGTGCTGAAGGCGTCCTCTCTCGAGCTACTCAGGTCAGCAATTGACCCAAGCTTAAGTATCGTTAACTTGTTTACACCCAGTTTAACTTACTTGTCCCTTGCTGATCCCCCTCTACTAAACACAACTTCTCTGTAAAGGCTGGGATAAAGTCCTAAGAGTGTTAATCCTTTCCATGTTCCTCATCATTATGCCACTCACCAGCAGCCCTACATTTTTCCTTGCCTTCAGTTAGTTACCAGTGTGCCTGCAGAAACCTCTCCTTGTCTTTTATATCTCTCAGAAGTTTCAACTCAAGCAGCACTTTGGCTTTCACAGTCCAATCCACTCATGCCCAAGAAATACTTCCATACTGATCCTTGGGAGACTGGTCCCAAATTTCATCATACTGTGTATGTTGTTAGCTTTTTGTTCACAAAATTAAGGATTAAAGTTTACAAATCTTGTTTCTATTTAATGTTATTTACGAGGAACTTCTATGGCAATCTCAAATAGGCAAAGAGACTGAAAGGGATGAAGAAGAGAATAATCTCTACTCACCTATAGTTGGATCATGATAGTCAGGGAACTGATGACTTATGAACTGCATTGTCATTGCTGGGAAAGAGAAAGAGAGAGGGAAATAAAAAAAATTCTATTACTGTCTTTAAAATACAACAGGGAGAATAACAAGCTGAGAATTCACTCATCCAAACACCAGCTTAGAAATTGAGTCAAAAGCCTTTTTTAGGTCTACAGCTGCAAGAACACATTGGTATTACATTGGTAACTGAGAACGGATGAATGGAAAAATACTAATAATTTTTTTTATTTATTTTAGTTTCTTTTTAAAATGCATTTATCAATTTTGTAATTAAAATGGTTCATCTTTTAAAAACTTGATAAATGCTTTTAAGCTGATTTTGTACACAGATTAAAATTACCACAAAGAAAACATAGAAAACAATTTACAAAGGTTATTTGTAAATGTTTTCATGATGTTGCAAAATGCCACTAACTGCAGAATCTGATTTGACGTCTAGTGCATTTTAGGAATACCCTACTCATAAAATTTGATGTGTCAGACAAATAATTTGTTAACTATCTAGAACGTGGTTTCTTCTGAACAGACTGGTAGTACCTATTGTCCAAATTTTTAGGGAAGTTACACAAGTCTGCAGAAAATTGTTTTGCATAATTTAGAACAGCTGTTATTCTGGAAATTACATCCCAGTTTATACAGAGAACCAGAAGCATTCATACCCTGTCCGACCCCAAGTTTCCAATATGACATCTAAAGTGCACGGATTCTGAATAAGCATGAAAACAGGCTGAGGTATTCAGCGGCCTCAGTAATATCACATTATCAGAACAACATGGGAAGTTATGCTACCTTTGTTGTTTTTCTTCAGGAATTTACATCTCATCTCATTTGAAAAGAAAGTTTTCTGCCTAAGACTGAGATCTGTGAAAAGTCCTTCAGAAGTGAAATAAGTGAATTCCAATTGAACAGTAAGGGAAAAAAGGGGGGGGGGGGGGGGGCGGGAATGGACCTTTTTTTTTTTTTTTAATATTGCTTGCTTTTTAAGCCAATTCTCTATTTTAATTTTTTATGGTTTTGTTGTGGTTTGTTGTTTGTTTTTTTCTTATGCCTGCATTAAAATGCCCCTTTAGCTGCTATGTGGATGGTTAAGAAGTATCCCACCTGAATGATAACTACCAGTCACAACACCTTAAATCAAACATGAGATTCTGCCCCATGTCTTGAACATCTCAGTTATCTTCAGTAGCAGAAGTTATGAACAAGAAGTGCGACTTCTAAAAATTCTGCGTACAAATATACCCATATTTAAACCAGCACTGTTTTAGTTTAATGTTTGTCCTTCTTATATTTTCCATAATCAAAGGGTTAAGGTGATAGTTTTACAAAACAGTACAGGCAAGGAGTATTAAACATTTACTACCATGTTAATAAATTATTACATCTTTAGTGCAGACAAATATAAATGTTAAGAAGCAGCATTATAAATTCATAGTAACTCAAGAGGGGGTAACTGTGTAAAAGAAGCTCATTCAGTCCATACATACTATAGAGGAATAAATCTACATGTAGTGACACTCTTCTGTGTCTGTTATCTGTTATCAGTTGCACTGCTTTCAAGTACTGTGCATGTTTGGATACTTTCATTTTCAGGACACCTAATTTTTTAATCACAACAGATTTTTAGGCACCTCCATCTGATAACTGCTAGTCGTTTATGAAGAATAATTTGATGTCTAATGTGATCTGCCTAGTTTCCTCTAAGCAGAGGCAGCTAGCAGAGCTGCTGTTCATATGGTTTATGCCCACAGATTCTGAGCTTTCTGAGGGCCTGTACCACAAATGAGTTTGATTTGTTTCACTACCTGCTGCTTTTTCTTGCCAAGCGTTTTGTTTTTTTAAAAAGCAAGCTACTCTGTTTCTGATCTAATTCTGTTTCCTTTTGGAGAGATGCCTGCATCACAAAATCTGTTGTCACAACTGAAACAGAAATTCTCAGAGGACACCCAGAACTCATAGTAGGTATATTTTTCCTGTCTCCTAAGACAGCTCCAAATCATAGGTCAAAACATCATTCATACCCTCATCAAATCCACAGGATCTAAGAGGACTAAAATTATTTGGAAGCATCATACTGACTTTCTACTGTAAGGGGCAAATGTTAGCCACTAGGACATGTAAAATTATTTTCTTACGAATTACACCATGTGTGTGAACATGCAGCATCAAAACTTTAACAAGGCTGCAAACAGTGCTTTAGAGGAAGATCAGAAGAGGAACTTATCTTGTAATGTTGAGTAAAGCAATACGGACTGATCGTAGTCTCAGTCCACAGCTCTACATGAGCTGACTTGGTTATACATAAAGTTAATCTGGAGAGGTACAGAATCTGTGAACAGTGTTCAGAGAAGTACTTCTATGTAATGACTGAAAATACCTTGCAGTCAGATGGGAAATGGTGAATAAAACCTTCTTTTTGCATGCATTTTGTTCCAACTTTGTTAAGTGCTCCTCCTAATCACCAGCATAGGGAACCTGTTTGGTGCTTATCACCACATGCACCATCTAATTAAATTAGCAACATAACCAAAACAGGTTATGTTTTTTTTTCCCTCAGACAGAAGGAATTGATCTACACTGATCTTTTTAATCACTGAATTACAACATAAAACTGGTGTATAAGAGGTGGGAATTGCAACCCATCTTTCTCTGTGTGTGCTTTGAAACAAGAATTTCCATTTTCTGTTAAATCCTATTGCACATCACTGCAGCAAGCATTTTCACAGGGGGCAAACAGGCCACCTCCTCTCAGGGAACAGAACAATTAGCTTTGGGCTTCAAATAACAGACCCCTTATTCCATGAAAATGGAGAACAATGAAGTCTCAAAACATGAGATCTGAGGTATAACAGCAATTGTGTCTGGATTTACCAGATATTGCAGTCTTGGCTCCTTGACATACAGAAACTAGTTCTGAATGATAGTTGGAAGCTGGTGGAACACCTCACAGTGCAAAAGAAGGAGCTATGGCATGAAACCACACAGCTGAAGCCTTGAGAATTAGACCTGTTTATAACAAGCTTTGTCTGGGCTCCCCAGCAGGACAGAAGCCTCAGTGGAATATAATGTCTTCTTCATCAGCAGTAATTTTCCAGAGAAAATTAATTTTGGAAACTAATACCAAAATGGTATGGGTATTCCATGCTGCTTTATAAAAATATTCTTCCTGCTTCCTCCTCTTTTCCTTACCCATTATCCTTTCTTCTGTGTAAATTAACACTCCCAACTAACAAATGCAAACCATCATCAGCTTTTATTGTTACCATTTTCCTTTGGAAATGCAAATAATACTGCTTCAAATTTTTATAGATGTATAAATCAGAGAATTTAAACTTTAATTTATGCCACACACAAAGCACTTCATCAAAATGTGGCTTTAAAGGAGGGTATTAAAACAGAATAAATGGATAAAAAAGGTATTTGAGTAAGTACATGTAAAAGCAGAATCAGTAAAAAAATTGTAAAAAATAAAATCAAAACAAAACCTTTTGATCCATACCATATATTGTGAAACATTTTGAATTGCAAGTTGCCTGGAAATTTTTAATGAATATTTTAGAACACAATGAACATTCCGTTTCCATGGGACATGTACATCACATGGCAACTATGATAAGTAAAAGGATCATTGTTTCAGATGAATAGTATCTTCTTTATATTCATCTGTGGCTAAGCAAATGCAGATTGCCTCAGTTGAATAAATGTAGACCTAATATACATGAGCAACTACATAACTTTAAAGTTCTCTTGTGTTTTAAAAATAAAAAATTATTTCAGTCCTTGCATTTATTTTTTAGTTGTTTCCAATCATGCTTATCCAATGTTCATTAATTCTTAAAGGCATACATGATACCTATGCTGGCACTGAAATGTATGTTTTCTTTGAATAATAAACTTAAGTCTTGTCTGCTATTTTCAATATAATTTCTATTCCCTTTCTGATACTTTTTTTTTTGCCTCCCAGTACTTGCTTAGGAAAAGGCTGAGGTTGTATTTCGGTTCTGAAACACACTTTTGATCAGTGCAACAATATTAACTTTCATGTATAGAAGGTATCAACTTTTTACAATTTATGTGTTTGTACAGGCTCACAGGCCCACAGAGAAAATGCTTAGACACCCATGCAGTTTTGAGAAAAGTTAGAGTAGAATCCTACTGTCCTTCTAATTTGTTCTGAATTTGATTTATACCAACAACTTTGAAAATAATCCTATAACCATTTCTCAAGGCCAGAGAGTACATTGTGAGCTAACACAATGCTCTTTATGGTAATAGTATCCACGATATGAATATCTTGTCCTGAACTTCCTATCCCTCTTTATTCTACCAAAAACTTCTGCATATTCATACTCTCCTGTTTCCAAAAGAATCTTTACCCTCATAACAAAATCCTACAGTTAAATAGTCTAGGAAAATGAACACAGTAGTTGCAACTCAGGGATCTGTGATTCCATATTGCTGATTCAATTTAGTTTAGATTCACTATTTCAGTGGATCTTTAACTTCTGTTCTTATAAACATTGAGGTTTTAAATGTACCAGCACAGAAGATGGACTTAAAAATAATACAGTATAATAAAGTCAGTGGTTTTACAGATCAGCTGATGAGGTTCATGAGAAAAGAAGAAAGCACAAACATGTCATTAGCATAGAGAAGGTAGCAACGAAGTTACGGAGTCTAAGAACAGTATAACATGTTCATAGGAAAAAACTGGCACAAAAGAGAAAAAGCAATAAATAAATTAAAAGTTTAAGTGACATCCTTGTCTCTATCAATCTGTAAAATCAAATATCTTTCTAAGAACATGCCCAGGGCATACTAAACATACCTGATTTTATTCTTTTAATAAAGTGTTTATGTATATATGAATATGTAAAAATGTTACAATACCAAAGTCAGACTATTTCAGCAACCAGACAGGCATTTTATCACTACTATTTTATCTCTGAAATACTGGATAGTTTTAACAGTTATGGTCGTTCTGATGGTTTCAAACCCCCAAGACCCTAGGTATTAT